TAACATTTTTTGTTGCTTTAACGTCTTTTTTTCATCATATTTTTTTGTTTTAATATTTTTTTCGCATCTCATATCCACCTCTTCATTTTTTTTTTTTTTTTGTTTCTCATATGTATTTTTTTTTTAGTTCTATATCTTTCGGATCTTTTTCTACATATATATATTTTTTGTGTATTTTCAAGAAGATTTATTTATTATTTTTTGTGTAATTATGGCAATCATATAATGTTTTTTGAAATCATTATATATTGTAAAAAAAATCTGAAATCAAATTAATAGTGTTGAAATAAAATGCAATACGAAAATAAAAAAGAAAAGAAATGTGCAATTTTTATACTATAAGCTATTACGAAAATTGAGTAGAATTGGAATAAGTAATAATGTATGTATGAGGAGGTATGTATGAAGTATGCACATATGAGTTGTCCTTAAATCAGGTGCGGTATAGCATAGGCAAACATGTAAAAGCGTTTATAAAATAACAAATCAGCGTATAAATATAAATTAAATAATAATAAATTAATACTAAAAATATATTTATATGTACAGTAATTGACTGTTTCTTTTAGAAATAGAAAACAAACGAAAAATAGAGATAAGAAACGAATTTTTAAAAATTTTTAAATTTTTATTGAAAAATTTTATGTTCGAATTTGAAATAATTTAGGAAATTATCCACAAAGAAATCTAAAATTATATTTTTATGAATCCTTAGGTTTTGTAGATCATTTTAACAGTTTTTAAAATTTTTCGAACATAAGTTCGAATTTTCGAACATAGCTTTGAAAGCTTATATTTCAGAAACTTTACTGAAAATACCTTAAAATTCATGCAAATTTTTAAAATTATTCGAAAATTTTAAGTTCGAAATTGAAAAATAATGTTTTAAAATTTTTATTCGAAAATTTTATATTCGAATTTGAAAAAAATGTAAGAAATTGTTCTCAAACTAAACTAAAATTATATTTTTATGAATGCTTAGGTTTTGTAGATCATTGTAACAGTTTTAAAATTTTTCGAAAATAAGTTCGAATTTTCGAACATAGCTTAAAGAGATTATATTCTGAAACTACATAGAAAATACTTGAAAATTTTTGAAAATTTTAACATTTTTATTCGAAAATACAAAGTTCGAATTTAAAAAAAATGTGCGAAATATTTAAAAATTTTATGTTCGAATTTTAAAAAATTATGTAATTGTCCACATATAGAAGTAACATTAAATATTTAAAATAAAATTATATTTTGTAAATAATTTTAACTTCAAAAATTGTTCGAACATAAGTTCGAATTTTCGAAAAAGCTTATTTTCAGAAACTGCAATAAAAATACTTAATATTCAAGAAAATTTTTTAAACATTTTTTCGAAAATTTTTAATTTGAACTTGAAAAAATGTCCTCAAATAAAAATTTAAATAAATTTTTAAAAATCCTCATAATTTTTCCAACATAAGTTCGAAATTTCGAATGTTGTTTTTCTTTCGAGATAGTTTCAACATCTATTAATAATTTTTCGAAAATAACTTTGACTTTTAATGAAAATATCTTGTGTATCTATGAATTCCAAATTTCAACCAATCTAACCTATGGAAACCGATATGTTTCCACGACAATTGAATCTTTGCTCCGAAACTAACCGAATCATACTCGGCCAAAGATTGCCAATCCAACGACAGCTGTACCAACCGAAAGTTTTTTAACCTGGGGAAGAACTATCGATCACAGTCGAACTGTTACAACAACAACATGGGAACCGATACGAAATTGCAAGTTTGTAGTCTTCATTTTGTTTAAATTGAAATATCCAATTTAAAACTTAAAATGTGAAATGAATTGAATTCCTTCTCCAAAGTTGCTTTTTTAACTTTCACATAAAAATCAACCCTGACGCTCCTATAGTTATCGTTTTAAAGGCTCTTATAAGGTAAATTTTAAGAAATTAAGATATTTGTCCATAAAACTACCTGACTGCAGTGTAGTTGTGCTAAATGCTGCACCAGTAAAAATTCAAAGAATTGCGTTAAACCCTAGACCTCTTGGGATCATCCTTCGATCGCGTTATTCTCTATGAATGTCAATTGAAGCTTACGATCCATGCCCTAAAATGACTCAGAGTATTGTGGTACTGTATAGTTTTGTGGTTAAGAGAACTTAGAAATGCTGAGACAAGTAGAGAAAATGCTGAAGAATTCGGCGCAAAGTATAACAATTCTTTTAGAGTTGTTGTGAGACTACGGACCCGGTCTGAAATGTGTATGTCTTCCATTTCATATGAAAATGCTTTGTATATGTTAGTGTTCTATTACCGATAGAGCCATAGCTTCCTTTTCCTTGAGAAAATGCTGAGTGTTTTGTAAAGTAGAAGTTAAATGGGACTGTTTTACTCTATGAAATATTTACCACTTCATTCTAAACTCCCTATCAAATGTTTTATAACAACTAATAAACTGTTAAGGGTCTTATTTATAAAGCAAAATTTTTAGTAATAAGTCCCCAAAATTTTGACAAATTTAAAAACATTTCATACCAGTTTTTAACCTTATTTAGCGATATTTGGCCTTACATTAAGCCCCACTATCAAGTTCTTTATACTTCCAGTAATAAAAGGAATAACCCCACAAAATAAAATGTTTAAAGAACAACAACTTAACATAAAAACAAAACACACATTAAAAATATGTAATACAAAAAAAAAATATGATCATTGAAATAAAATAATAATATTTATACAACATGCATAATAAGTAGAAGAAAAATTAATAATAATATAGTTCGTACTTACCATTAAAAGTAGGTAAGAATATTAATCAGTAAGGAGCATAGTAATTAACACGTCCACGATAACCTCTTCTAGAACCAAAGACAATAAGGTATAAGTAAAAGCAATTCCAAGGTAGATATAATGAAAATTGGAATTATCTAGTAATTGAAACTAACACTTACATTGGACGACGGGTGCCACGGAATGTGGTGGTATGACAACATGCTCGGGATACACGAGCACCACCACGACCACGAAAACTGCCACGGGGGAAACGATTGGTAGTAGAGAGGCCAGGACGATTTGTACGTTTGGACATAACCTGAAAATTTTCACACAACAGAATAAATACGTCAGCAAATCGTATACACAATTTGTTTGCTTGTTTGTTTGTTTGTATGTTTGTCTGCTTATCTATTCACCTTAATTTGACGACCACGAAATAGGGTCTCATTCATGGCCAATGCAGTCTCAACAAATTCTTTGGAACCAAATTCAATATAGGCAAATCCCTTAGGATGACCATCAGCCTTATTGCACAATATAGTCACACGATTGATTGTGCCACAGCCATGGAAGTGGGCCTCCAATTCTTCAGCCGATGCACCATAATCAACATTACCCACATACACTGAACGGGTATCGATTTCCTGTTTCTCCTCCAACGACAAGGGAACTGTAGCTAAGCCCGTTGTCGAACCGGCCATTTGTTTATCCACTTCCGACTGCATTTGTTTAATTTTTTCAGCTTCTTCTTCCATTTCTTTGACGCGAGCTTTTATAGCTTCCAATTCGGGATCAATCTGCATATTGTTATCCTCCTGTTTGCAAAATATGTGTGTGTTTTTTTTATTTAATTAAAATGGAAAATAAAACAAAATAAAATATTTTTCTTGTTTTTTTTTTTAAACGAAATAAAACACAGCGTCTAAGATGAAAATTGTTTTTAATCACACGCCCAGATTTTGTTGCAGCAAAAGTTTCGTGTTAAGACAATAACGAAAATCGATGTTGTACACAAAGAAAGGCAAGGAAATGAAATTGAAATGAATAACGAAAGAAATAAAAAAACCCAATTGGTTTGGGTTTGGGTTTTTTGTGTAACTGACACAAAAAGAAGTGTTTTTTTGTTTTTTTTTTTGCTGCCAATTTTAGCGTCTCTTTGGGTGATGCCAGATTTCCGCTAAATGTAAATAATATCTGGAAAATCACATTTCAGTGAATAAAAAAAAGCTCTTTGGAAAATAAATTTTAAATGTTCAATAAATTTTAGATTATGTGGAAAATATAATATCTGGAAAATCACATTTCAGTGAATAAAAAAAAAGCTCTTTGGAAAATAAATTTAAAATTTTCAATAAATTTTAGATTATGTGGAAAATATAATTTCCATATATAAGTCTAGTCCATATACTAGTGAATAACCTTGTCCATAGATTAGTTAAAAGACGGCTCCATTGACCCGTCTTTTAACTGTCTATGGACAATTAATAGTCCACTGTCTAATTAATAGTTCTTAGACTAGTCAATTAACTAGTTTATATTCTATTCAATGGACTAGTTCAAAGACAAGAAAAGTTTAGACTAAATAACTGCCAATAAGCTAGTATACCTATTAGACATTATACTAGTCTATAGACTCTTCAATTTAGGTACTGTTCCATAAAATAGTTCTTAGACTAGTACATAAACTAGTCTATTGACTTCATAGACAAGTCTCTTTACTAGTCATTGTTTATTGCATTTTCACTAGTTTATTTCATATACCAGTTTAAAGACTACCCAATATACTAGTTCATATAGGTACTACTCAATAGACTAGGTAGATATTTTATGGATTACTCATAGAGTATTTCATGGACTAGTCTATTAACAATATACTAACTCGTAGACATTGTTTATAGAGTAAACCATAGACTTATTCATAACCTAGTCAATAGAAGAGTTCAAAGACTAGGTCAAAATTGTTCAAAGAAATACTACCTATTTATACTAAAACTTATTTCATCCAGTCATTTTGATGATTCTGATAGTGTACAAACTTAAAAAATTGTTGAAAAATTTACACTACTGTTAACATTCTATGAAACATGAAGGGCTTTATTCATCATTTACAGAAGGTTTATATATAGGACAAATTTTGTATGAAAACTTGTTTTATAAACCTTTGACCGTATTCTGTTATCTTCGAAGGCAAACCCGCTCTCAATAAGACAACAAAAAATGGAGGGAAAATATTCTACAGCACATTCCACATTCACCGTAACCTCAAATTACATACACTAAAATGCCACCAGCATCTTATTTCAACAATTCCTAAAATTTAACCCTTCAATACCAAGTCTGGCAATATTTGTAACAACATATTTATCTTATCGCTACTTTTCTGTTGATTCCACAAATTTATGAGATACAAAAAAGCTTTTGCTCAAAACTTGTTTTTATTCCTTGTTTGTTCAACATCATCTTTTTTGCGCTGGATTTCATTTGCAAAGCAAAAGACGACGAAAAAAACAAAAACTTGTTTTCTTCTTTCCCACTATAGTACATGCTGCTGCACACAACACACTACTTACCTCATTTATTAGTTCTGTTTCATTTTCACCATTGGCCTCATCCAAATTCTCCAAGAGTTGATCTTCATTCAATGATAAATCTTCATCGGCCATTTTTGTTTGTGTATAATTTAATATCTTTGTACAAAAATAATTAAAATTCTATTTTTATTTTTAAGGTATTTTTGATTTTTTTCAAAGCGTCCTTTTGTGTATTTTTTAAATGACGTTGTACTTTTTTCCTCCGTTTCTGTGTATTTTTCAGTGCTCTTTAATATTTTTTCTTCGCCGTTTTCGCTGCTGTCAGTTTATGAGAAAACAAAAAAATATGTACCCAATTCGCCCAAAATGGTGGTATTGTGTGGTCTTGTTGTTGTTGTTGGTGGCAAAATCTAAATGGAAAAATACACAAGCACGCGTTAATTTTCTTCATTAACAAATATTTAACTTAATTTATTACAACATATAGTTGATGGTAAGTTTGTTTTCAAATTTTAACACATATTTTAATTAGTTTTTAATAAATTACCAAAAATATTTTCTATTTACTTGCAATCACAAAAAAAGAGCAAAAAATCCGCGTTTTCACAACGCACACAGACGTAAAAAGAAATTATTTTCTATTTTCGTTCAGTTTTTTGACATTTCATATCGACAGTTACCAGATTGCTTTTTTGTTTATACGGTAATCAAAAAAAACGCAACTTTATTATAGTACAGTGTGCTCTGTATATAGTGCACTACTTGTTTTTGTTTTTCAAAATGAGTGATTCCGAATATGAAGAAGAAGAATTTCTAGTATTTGCCGATTTCAAAAATCAAATATTTCCCGAACAACTATCTGATGAAAATTCAGCAATAAAAATAATTGGAGTTGAAAGCAAAAATCCGGTGGCTGAAATTAATGGAAATATTTTTAAGGGTAAGTTTTTTGCAAATTTCATAATTTCGAAAGTTTGAACTTCATAATTAAGATTTGCACAAAGATCGGATATGATCAAATCTTTCGAAACTAAGTAACGACAACGTTAAATTCTTTGCATTCCTTTAAAAGCGAACATTTATTAAGAAGCTTTTATTTTTAGGAACATATGATTATGCCATGGGAACTGAAGTATTTTTGGAAAAAGACCCAGATGCACCACCACCAGATCCGCTTTACGAGCAAAGCTGTCGACAAAAGTATAAAGTAATTGGTAAAACCAATAAAGTCATTAATTTTCAGCGCATTTATGTTGAGAAAATATCGGAAAAGAAAGAATGTGAAGATGAAGCAGAAGGTGGTGAAGCATCAACCGATACAACGACAACAACTGAAGATAATTTACGATTGAACATAACCTATGAAGAGGCAATTAAGCAGTTTCCTAATGTCAATGATCCACAATGGAAAGAGAAAGATTTGTTTTAAATTAATGTTAAAATTACTTGTAATTAATAATAAAATATAGAATTTAAAAATGGACTTAAACCTTTATTGTAGACTTACGGGGGTTTTATCACTGATTTTCTAATAAGAAACTAATGATTGGGTAATTTTTTATATTTTCAGTTTATTATCTAAAATGGAAGAAATCCTGGGACAGTCTATGCAACCCCCTATAAATCTTAAAGATTATCTTTTAAATTATAAAAAGAAATTTAAACATCCCTATAATCTACCTCCTGCTGATATAAATATAGCAGAAGCCTTGCATCTTTCCGATGATGATGAACAATACAAGACCATAGAGGCAAATTGTTCTCTAGAGCATTTAAAACAGCCTAGTGATCCACGTGTGGCCGATTTTGTACCCGGCTATTCTGAAATACCCCGAAAAACTACTGCCAATATAGATATAAAAAGCGTGAAACTAAAAACCTTTGAACTGTTAATAAAACATAAACAATGCAAAAAACCAAGTGCATTTCAACGCTCAAGGGAGTGTTTTACAATGATGAAACTGCCTGCAGCATCTAAAGAAACAACAGAGCCCTATATACAACCCGGTGAAGAAATTATTGTTTATGTACGATTTTATCGTCCGGCGCGTGCCACCCATATTGGTCGCACTTTGGAAAAGCCAGTTTTTTCGCAGGAATTTGCGTGTCTGGGCCGGAATTTCCTAAGTGAATTGCGTGATAAAGTTTATTGCGTCTGCAATAATAAACGATTTTTCGATGTAAGCGAACAACCCGAGGAGCCTTTACCTACTAAAGACACAGATCCTGGTTTCTTTTTCATAACTGATACCTTTTACAATGATAAACGTAATCCTCTAAATATGGATTACTCTCAAACCATACGCAGTTGGGCCAAAAAAGCCAAAGGTTTAAATAATCTCGACTTTAAAGTAGCTTGTCTAGAGGAAACCCGTTTTATTGATCTGACTGTCAGCTTGGGATTTCCACAACTCTATCTGCATCATGGTAACTGTGAACATGTTTTTGTCTTTTCAAATATCGAGATTATAACAAATCCAGGTTTACAACTTTTACCCTCCATATCCAACTATCCCTGTGTCCTGACCATTAGCCGCTTTAATACACAAACATGTAATATATGCGGTAAAATGAATTACGTTTATGTAGTCCTGGGTAGTAATCGTCAACTACAGGATCCCGCCTACTTATGCAAACAATGTTTTATCTCCTTTCATTATGTGGATGGTAAGAAAATTGGTGAATTTGCGGCGTATCGTTTAAATGATGAAATACAAAGGCCAGGAGTCGACGATATTGAAGTATACAATGGTGGCGAGGAGATTACACAGGAAAATTTAAATGGTGATCAAATTGATCATGATGATGATGATTCGGAAAACTCGGAAGAAATTGATATAATTATAAAAGAGGAAGTAATTTGTAATACCGATGATAACTGACTTTATTCTATTTGTATGTTTGTGTATAAAGTCGTTTGGAATTGTTTTAAATGAATTCAATTAGATTCTGGGAGACTCTAACTTAATTTCCTGTTAATAATTTTCTATAAATCAAAAATTTATCGAAAATTTGCTAAAAATTTAATATTTATCGAAATTTTTCTATAAACTGAAAATGTATAAAATTGTCTTTAAATTGTAAATTTATCAAAAATATTTTATAAATTTAAATTTCATCGAAAATATTCTATAAATTTTAAATTTATTTAAAATATTCTATAAATTGAAAAATCATCGAAAATATTCTATAAATTTAAAACTCATCAAAAATATTCTAAAAATTGATGATTTATCGAAAATTTTTTAAAAAAATAAATAAATTCATAGAAAATTACTATAAAATTTATAGTATAAATCAAAAATTTTCTATAAATTCAAATACTAATGTATAGAATATATTCTAAAAATCAAAAATTATCGAAAATTATTCGTAAATAAAAATTTATTTTTATAAATACGCCTGGTAACCATGCAAAATCCAACTGTCACTCTCTCGTTCTGTCTTGTATGAAGAAGAAGAAAGTAACAAAGAAAAATTGTAACAAAAACACACACACTCTACAAACATACAATAAAATAAATTTTTGTTATCTGTGCGAAATGTTTGCATTTTTTGTTAATTTAATCATATATTCTTCATCTAATACAAGATATAAACTAGTTGTACATACTTTTTATTAACTGAGTGACTAATTTCTATAAAAAAATTATAAATATTAAGAGCTTTCTCAATATTTATGGAATTAAAAACTCCTGTAGCTAAAAAAACCCCTGCAAAGTGTTGGAAAACAAATTATACGGGCAGCCACAGATAATAATTTAATAAATTATAAAAAAAGTAATACCAAACAAACGTAAAATGAATTACAAAAAAGCTGTATTACAACATGAAAGTAATAGCTTAACACAAACAATTGAATTACCAACAAATACGACGGTCGCAGCAGAAGCAGCAACAACTTCAGCAACCGTGATGACAAATGCAACAACAAGCACATCGACAACGTCTTCAACCAAAGAAAAAGAAAAGAAAGGAGGTTGGTTTCATTCATTAACCCGTCGTAAAAAGACTCCATCACAATCATCCATAAATTATACAAATTCCTCGACTCCAACATCTAGAGAATCCAATGATATGGTGATAATGCCAACAAATCCTACAAACAGTTATTTACAACACACTAATAACAATAATGAACCCTTAATGAGATCCTGTAATGCTGGCTCCACGGCCAATGACGAATTAACATCAGCTGATGTACCCAGCTGTAGTAGCATTAGTGCTGGCGGCGGCGCACGCAAACGTAAAGATGAAAAGAACGTATTTCAACGTTTGCGCAAGCGTATGGGTTTACGTTTTTCCTCCCTCAGGCGTCACAAACATTCATCGCTAGATGGAGAAGGTGCGACCACTGATGCTACATACGAGTTTCTTACACACTCACCGCTACACGAACCGTTGCATTTCAATTTTAAACGGAGCTCGAGCAGTAACTGCGCCACTGCTGGTCTTTCCACCGATGACAATGATATGATACCGTTTACAAATGATTTTAAACGTTTCATACGAAAAAAATGGCTGGAACGAGAAGACGGTCCAAATTTGATAATGTACGAAGCGAGTTCGGAAATGTTGAAGTAAGTATTAATATTGAAGAATTGTATAGGTAAAAAGTAGATAGATAGATAGATAGATAGATAGATAGATAGATAGATAGATAGATAGATAGATAGATAGATAGATAGATAGATAGATAGATAGATAGATAGATAGATAGATAGATAGATAGATAGATAGATAGATAGATAGATAGATAGATAGATAGATAGATAGATAGATAGATAGATAGATAGATAGATAGATAGATAGATAGATAGATAGATAGATAGATAGATAGATAGATAGATAGATAGATAGATAGATAGATAGATAGATAGATAGATAGATAGATAGATAGATAGATAGATAGATAGATAGATAGATAGATAGATAGATAGATAGATAGATAGATAGATAGATAGATAGATAGATAGATAGATAGATAGATAGATAGATAGATAGATAGGTAGATAGATAGATAGATAGATGGATAGATAGATAGATAGATAGATAGATAGATAGATAGATCGATAAATAGATAGATAGATAGATAGATAGATAGATAGATAGATAGATAGATAGATATATAGATAGGTAGATAGATGGATAGATATATAGATAGATAGATAGATAGATAGATAGATAGATAGATAGATAGATACATAGATAGATAGATAAATAGATAAATAAATAAATAAATAGATAGATAGATAGATAGATAGATAGATAGATAGATAGATAGATAGATAGATAGATAGATAGATAGATAGATAGATAGATAGACAGTCAGACATACAGATAGATATATAGATAGATTTAAAAATTATTAAATGATAGATAGAGATATAGATAGATAGATAGATAGATAGATAGATAGATAGATAGATAGATAGATAGATAGATAGATAGATAGATAGATAGATAGATAGATAGACAGACAGTCAGACATACAGATAGATAGATATATAGATAGATAATAGACAGATTTTAAAATTATTAAATTGATAAAAAAAATTAAATAATTCTTTTCACTTTATTACAGCCAAGTCTGGTATTGGGGTGAAATCTCCCGACGTGATGCGCAAAAACAATTAACGGACAAACCAACCGGTTCATTTTTAGTACGCGACTCCGAGACGAGCGGCTGTCAATTTACTCTATCGTTTCGCATTATCAACGTTACCCTGCACTATCGTCTCGAATATCGCAATGACTATTGGCATTTCGAAGAGTTACAATATGAGTCGATTGTTGAAATGATTGAGGATATTTTATATCGTTGTACAAATGATAATTTTGTTTGTTTCGTTAAGGTACCAAATGAAATGCAACCACCGTTTCCAGTTATACTAAAATATCCACTTAGTCGATATCTAAATATGCCAAAATTACAGGATTTATGTCGTCGTGCTATACAGCGTTCAACGAAACCGGAGGATATAGCAAAGATGTCTATACCGCCTGGTCTACAAGAGTATTTAGCTGAAAGCAGAGAACTTGTATTTTAAACGCACGCACATACATATGATATGTATTTGTAATTTAAGTGAAATATGCAGGAAAAGAAAGAGAAAAAGTATGTATATGTATTATTTTTTATTAGTTATTTTAGTTTAATGTTTTTGATTGTTTTTTTTATATATATAACCAAAGATTATATAAATTTTAATATTTTTATTTTTCCCATGCTATGTTAGGTGAGTGGTAAACTAGTAATCCTAACATTCAAAGTTTTATTAAATCTAGATTTAATATTCGCAGAGAATAATTTTTTAGCAGATTTATTAATTGCTGTTTAAATGGAGTCACAAACAATTATTCATGAAAACACACACTGCCAGTTTCTTTATATAAAATGAAAAATAATATGATAATATTTCTCTAATAATAATTTCAAATCCATTTTCTCAATCTAAGGTTAACATTAAACCGGCAAAATATATTTTGCGAACGGTTTTCAAAGAGAAAATTTTTTAAATAACGTTTTACCACTCATTTTCAATATGGCACCAAGAAAAAGTTTTTATTTTTATTTTATTGTAAAACAATTTAAAATTGTTTATTAATTCATCTATGATATTTTTTATAAATAATCAATACATCACTTATTTAGAAGATATTTATGCATATACATTTAAATATTAATAAAATATATATTTAATATTAAAATTTTAACTATTATTAACTATTCTGGTCCTAATTAAGCATTGCTTATTTTTATCTCATTGTCTTCCTTAAGAAAGAAAAAACTAACAAAAAACAAACACATAAAAAATTAGTAAAAAGAATATTATTATTTAAGAGATAAAATTAAAACTAAAATAAAATGTCACAAATATTTAACATACAAATTACCGAAATATGTCACTGTCCGAGCCAAAGCCAAATGCAATTTTGAAATATTTGAAGTGAAATGAATAAATAGTAAATTTCTCAAATACAAAAAAGCCGTATTTAAAAAAATGCAACAACAAACTTGTAATTACAACTTCAGATATTTTTAAAAATATATACTTTCAAATTGTCTACAGTATACATCTAGTTATTACTAACTATAATTCTATTTTACTGGGCATTTAAATTTCGGCCCCTTTTTCACAAACAACATTTTTATTTTATAAACGGTTTATAAATTAGATTTTGTATGAAAATTTTGTTTTATAAACCGTTTATAAAATAAAAATGTTGTTTCTGAATATATCTGAAAAGCACAAATAAATTTAAGAAATTATGATTGTTTCAAATTTAAACATTTGCTGTTATATCTCAATATATGTTTATAAATCATCTCACAAAACTATATTTGTTATGCACAATTATTTCCTTTAAGTTTTTCTTTTTATATCCTAATAAAATAACCAAAAAATATAAATAAATTTATATTACAAAATCTAATTATACATTAATTACCTTTATATAATACGGAAATAATATTAAACAAATATATTAAAAAAAGAGTATTAATTATAAGTATTTCAATGTTAGTTTGTAGAATGTATTCCAAAAGCAATTTTATTAAAATACAAATAACTATAAATAACGACTAAATTTTAAGTGGAAAAAAATCTATGCTGTTATAATTTTTTTACACAAAATTTTATATACTATTTTAATTGAAGTTTTTCTATTTTTTTAAAATACTCTAATATCACTACTATTAATAATGTAATAAACTATTGAAGTAAATAGTTCATATGTCTCAAACTTTTTATATATTTTTTACTGGTCAGAAATATATTTTTAACTTTTGAATTGTCATTAATTATTTTGTAGTATTTAAATTGTTTAATTTTTACTAGTTTACACTCATTATTATAAAAATTATAGGTTTTTGTAACATTTAGTAATTTCTCCTAATATGTATTCCTAGAATCTTAATGTTTAATAATGAAAGTTGAGATTTATGCACAAGCTGTATAAGGCCTTTTTCTTATAAACTATTTTATTTATTGTTAAATTAGAATTCATTGAATATTTTTCAATAAAATATTAAAAATATATATGTTGACTTTAATTATAATTTATTCTCCAAATCAATATTGCTAAACTATTGATAATTAATTCTATTAATCATACTCTATTTAATCAATTACTGAAATCACATACATACCTGATACACATTTCTGCTACCATTTTTTTCTTTTTATTTCATTTTACTGCACTATTAAGTAAAAGAATAGTGCTTCCGATTTTAATTATTACTTTATTAAATATATGTTTCCACAACTTTAAGCCATTGAAAACAATTTAGGTTCAAACATATCATTTAATTTAAGCTGAACATATTTAGTACAATCCTGAGAATCATCCAAATTACAAAAGAATTGATTGGGTACATAAGACAGCTCTTTATTGCCATCTAAATAAAATTATAGAAAAAAAAAAAAAAACAACTTAATGCTAACAAAACAAACAAATATTTTTAAAAACCACACTTACCTATTATAAAAAGTTTAATAGTTTTTGTTCTTCTATTAATATATTCTACTTTTCCGGCCAAATAATTTGTATGGACATGCTGTTGTTTCTTGTTTGTATAGGGTACCTTAATAAAAACAAGCAAAAAAAAAATAATATAGATTTATTGACAATTTAAGCAACCGTTAACTTGCCTTAAAAATAAGTATGTCATCAATATTTGGCAAATCATGTAGATCTGTAGAAAATGGTAGAATTTTATCGACCTTTATATCATTTATTGCATTGCCGGGCACTCTAGATATATTAACTGTATTATCACAATTATCCTCGGTTTCATTTAAATCGATTATTTCCGATATTTCCTCAACATCTGATGATAAATCATCATCTACAGTTAAATCATGTTTCTCTGGGGCGTTTATATTTTTAAATTTCTCCGCCGTAGTTTTCTTTTTATGTGTATCATTATCGTCTTCATCTAAATCGATACTTAAATCAACACAATCCACCGACATTATGCTCGATTCATTAACATTCGTTTCTTGCATTTGAGATTCAGTTTGCGACTGTGTAACTTTGGTAGATTCATTGTGAGATATTTCTAAATCATCGATACTTTGTTCTCCCTCTGTATTCTTCGCAATTGTTGTACTGCCTGTGGCATTACTTGTATTATTTAAAGAACTCTTCTCATTTAGTGAATCGACCTCTTCCTCAATTTTAGTTGTTTCAATTGTTTCTTGTGGCGTTTCAACTTCATCTACTATAGATTTCTCTTGGGCGCTTGGTTTTTCCCTGATGGCATTTGGTATGTTTATAGGTGATAATATTATTTCTTCTTGTATTTCCACCAACTGTTTCTTACTATTATCATCAGAAATATTTGTTGATTTTAAATGGAATATTCTTGGTTTTTGTGGTTTTGTGGCATTTGTAACATCATCTAAAGGACAACGAAATATAACTACTGTTTTGGGTTCTTGGCTTTTCTTAGGTGTTAATTTTGAAGCTCTCATAGCTTTGGGATTTACTATATCTCCGGAATCATTGAAATATATATGAGCCTTACTGGTTTTAGGTTTTTTAAAGGGATTATTTGGATTTAGAGAATTGGTTGGGGTGTTGACATTGATGTTTTGTTGCAACATTTTACTTTCGTTTAAAAATGTCGATGAAGGTATACTGGAAGGACGTGCAGCAGTAGCTTTTGCTTCATCGTTAACTGTTCAAATCATTAATTATAATAAATTTGTAATTAATAATTATAAAACTAATAAATTTTAATAATATAAAAATGAGGATAAAAAACTTACAAGTTTTTTCTTCACTATTATCTTCAAAATCACATGTTTTCCTATCCTTTGGCGTGGAAGTATGACGTTTTTTATTTCCGTTGTCAGAACTGATCTCAACCAAAGTATTTTCCTCCAAATTTGATGAATTTTCTCTTAGAGATTTCGATATACACAATTGATTTTCCACAATAGGTTCTACTGCTACATTATCTGCCGAAACCAATGATACTTTAGATTTTTTAGCCTTAGACTTTCTACTTTTGTTTGCATCATCCTCCTCGAGAACTAATGGAGGCGTCGGTAATTGTTCACTCGTACTAGTAATTTCCGAAAAGTTATAGCTGTTTTTCGAACGCTTAGCTTTATTGGATAAAGTACCAGAGGAATGGCAGCTATTGGCCAATGAATTGTATTTTCGTTTCATTTGTGAATCATCTATAGATTCCTGCCGTTCATCTGCTTGCGTAGTGCTGTTTTCTTCATCATTGACAGATTCTTCTGCTGATTTTTCATTCTTAGATTTCTTAGACTTTTTCTTTTTCCTCTTCTCTAGCGATTCCTTAGGGACAAATGCTCTAATATAAAGATATATTTGATGATTATGGATTGTTTTGTAAATACTGTAGGCAGTTACTTACTTGAGATCATTGCAAAACTTAATAATTTCAATTGATTCTTGTGGTGGCAAAAAGTATCCATCACTTAGGAATAGTGTTTATAAACCGGTTAACCGGTTAACCGAAAAACCGGTTTTTATTGCATATTTCGGTTTTTCGCAAACCGGTTTTTTAAAACATTGGTTTTCGGTTAACCGGGTTATCCGGTTTTTAAGTCTCGGTTAACCGGTTTCAAAAAAATCTAATTTATAGTACAAAATTGTATGTTTTCTTTGATATTTTATTGTGATTTTTAAAAATTTTGGATAGATAATTTTAAACATTATTTTCCGTTTGTGCATATGAAAACAGACCTAAGATTGTTAAACAAATATTATCTATATACTTACTTGTTTACTGCGTGAGTATAATAAAAATCGAGAAGTTTCTCAAACGTTCTCAAAACGGACTTTATTTATCGAAACATAAGGATTGTTGTTGCCGTCCGAGAACTTATGCTGCTGGGGTTTTTCACAAACTGTAATGGCGCTTAGGTTGATTGACAGGAAGTCAGAATGACACCTGTCAATATTCCTAAGCGTCATTCACAGTAATTTGAACAACCACAGGCGTAGTGAGTGGAGGGAGGTCACTGTCTATGTCGAGACAATCGTCGCGAACCTGAACACTGTTTATAGTTCTGGGCATAATTTTTGCTATTGATATATATGGTTAATTTATCCCTCGTATGGCAACTTCCATATACCTAACGAATCAATAATATCTTCAGATCTATATAAGTTTGTTTTCTTATGATATATATTAATGTACATATCTATACTAAAAAGTGCAAATATCTTATTAAGTAATTTATAATATTTCGCAAAATGGCATTTTTCAACTATATATTATAATATTTTAAAGATTTCCAAACATTTCGGTTAACCGGTTTAACCGGTTTTTTATACTCGGTTAACCGACAAACCGGTTTTTTAGAAATGGTTAATTTTCGGTTAACCGAAAAACCGGTTTTTCCAAAAGTCGGTTTTTTATAAACACTACTTAGGAAACGCACAGAATCAACATCGAATAAAAACTCGACTCTTTTTTGCAGACACTCGACACTTTTCCAATGGGGATCGACTAGAACACAAGTCATTCTGCGTTCATCATCAAAAAATGTTGATAAATCAATTCGAATTGCTTTTTTATTCATTACTAACGATAAAATCTAAAATATTTGCATAGAATAAGATTTGCAAGAACAAATTAAATATATTATTCATAGACTACTCATTATCTGTGATATTATTAATGAAAACAAACAGCAAGGCGAATTTACATTATTCAATTCGCCATGTTTGCAAAAAAACCCGGCAATTGTGATGCCAGACTTGTTGGACTAAACGTTATTTTGAAGATTTTTTTATTATTTATTAAATAATAAAAATAGTTTAAGAAAAAATTTAATTAACCATTAATAATAATAATAAGGAGTTATCGAATTTGCAAATTTAAAAATATAGATTTTTTCAAATTTTTGGAAAACTATGTAATATAGTCTGTGCCAGTGTTCTGTATTTCTCGTGTCGAGAAAAAAACATTGAAATATGAGAGTCTTCCACTTTTTAGTTGTGTGATTCAAATAATTTTTAAGGGCCAATCTTTAGGTGAAAGATTAGCGATTAAATTAAAATTAATCCTCGAAAGATGTTTTTGAGTACTCAATTAGTTAATTTTGTTTACAAGTTTAAGCACCCAATGGAGGTGGTGTAATCTTAAGCACGAAATGCAAAAGTGTAAACAGCTGATGCAAAAAAATTAATAAAATTTTTATAAATATAAACATTAAAATGTTCTATTTATTGATTAGTATAAATTATGTACACTTCAAAATACATTTTTTTGTTTTTAATTTAAGTTTTCATTAATTTTTATATTAAATTTACAATTGTCTTCTTCTTTTTTATAAAATATGCATTGTTTTGATAACAAACAGTGACGTTTTCTGTTGTTTTGTATGGCAACACTGCGAAGTTTAATATTGTACTCAAAAACATCAAAGGGGATTAACATAAGATTAAATTTATTATTAGATAAACTAATCTGATTATTAATTGGCATTTGATTACCATCTCAAAAACCCGCTCTAAACTGAATACATTACCCTACCATAATATATTTGAATTACGTGTATTTTTAAACAAGACGGTAATACATTTTTCAAATTTTTTTGTCGATTCGAAAGTTACAGAACACTGGTCTATAGTCTAGTCTATAACGATTTTAGCAATAATTGGGCCTCATTTCACTCTAGCCTCTAACCAAAGTCCCCTTCTGAAAATTACTTAAACGTACGGAATTGATTGATAACCTTTAATATAAGTATAGACGTTTGTAAGATCTCACAATATTGTCAGACAGATATTTAGAAAACGTTTAATAACCGTGTCAACTTACAATTTTTGTCTTGCAGGTAAACTTTTTGTATATGAAGTGTTTCAATAAGTTAAGGTCGGGAGGGGACCGAGAGCAAAAATCTCCCGTAAGGAATGTACGTGCACGAACACGTTGAACGCCGCAAAACTTGATCGGACTACAAAATTGTATAGTAAATTTTAATAGAGATTGAAGAAAATTATTGGATTGAACGCAACACATTTGCTAACATTGAGTATTTTACTCACCATTAAGTCCAACCAAAAGTCTGGCAATACCGTGATAAAAAAATAACCACCACCATACAGAGTTGCATTTTATGTGTTTGTGTGTTGTGTTTTCGACATTTTGCTTTTCTACATTTTTTGCAAATTTTTCATTCGTACACTTTTCACCGCTGTGTTTTTTATCTCGTCTGCCAATAAACGTGGGAAAATTTGTAAAAATTCATTGACTAAAAAGCGGTTTGTTTTATTAAAATACAATTTTCCATAGAAATTGTTTTTGTAAAACAGAAAATAATCAAATATATACATAAAACTGAACTATAGCACAAGAATATTGAAAAAAGTACAAGAAGGAAAATTTTTATCAAAATTATTCTTTTTTTTGTATAAAAGAAGGCGTGGGGATACACACACTGTGCAAAAAGCAAGACAAAGCAATAATTGCAAAAAAAGAACGAACGGAAAATTCAACTCTTCAATTCTTTAAAGAAAAAAACTAAAGTTAATCTTTATAACCACGTGAATGGAAAGAGGAATTTCTTTTAAATATTTTTTGACAGTATTTGGTACACGAAATTGATAACAATTGATACTGTTATACACAAACACACAATATTTATAACTATAAAACGCGCTTTTCCGAAAAATATTGTATTTTTTGTAGTAGAAGAAAAGCGTTGCCGCAGCACGCCACTTGTATATAACAAAAAAGGCTCACATCGATTTTTAACCGGCTTCATAAGAAGAAAAAAAGAAAGGCAAAACTCACACCCCTTTAATAATCAGCATTTAATACATAAATTTAGGGTTGTTTTGGTTTAAATTAATCCATAAACAATCTTAGCACATTATGGGGGCCTACTTATCACAACCCAAAACAGACAAGGTGTCCACAGATGAATCCAACGATTATCTGTGTGTGGGAGCATCCTCAATGCAGGGCTGGCGTAATAGTCAAGAGGTAAGTAGTAAATTTGAATGGAAAATCTATTTGTACAAGAATGAGAAGAGATTTTGCGGAATTTCATTTAATAAATAATATTTTTTTGTTGCTTTTTAGGATGCCCATAATTCATTATTAAATTTTGATAAGAATACAGCATTCTTTGCTGTATACGATGGTCATGGCGGTGCTGAAGTGTCAACATATTGCGCCGATAAATTGCCGCAATTTCTAAAAGCTTTAGCTGCCTATACAGAGGGCAATTTTGAACAGGCTCTTATTGAAGCTTTCCTGGGTTTCGATAAGACACTTTTAGAACCAGAGGTTATTGAAATACTTAAAGTTTTGGCGGGCGAAAAGAATTTTGCTGATGCTGATGATAGCGATGCCATGGAAGATGATGAAGATGAAGATTTGGCTGAATTACATGAAGAAGGAAATTTACCGCTAGATGAAGTTATGGAAAAGTACAAGGGTCACCCTTCGATGCCTACATTAAAGAAACTTAAAGATAGCAATAGTTCTAAACCACAATCGCCATTTTTAAGAGGACGACGTGCCGCTGCTGTTATAGCAGATGCCGCTAATCGGGCCGAATTGGATCCCGACTCAAAGCCGGAGGGCTCTTCAACTTCCAAAGCTGCCTTGGCAGCTTTACAAGGTAATATCTAGTGAAAGGAAATTATTATTGTAAATTGTTATTTATGTTTTATTTAATCAAAAAACAGATGAAGGTGGTCCTAGTTCTTCGAAATCTACTTCAACGGCTAATAAAATGGAAACTGAAGAGGATTCTACTGTTAGTAGCAGTAGTTCTAGTGCCAGCAAATCCAACAGCAATAATAATTCGGCTAAAAATGCAGCTGAGGCTGAAGCCTCCACTACCGCAGAAGTAACAGAAAATGCCACAAACGGTCAAACAAAAACAGATGCTGCCGCTGTGCCCGATTCATCAGCCGCCAAGGAAAATGAACAAAATGGCAGTGTATCTTCATCGGAAGTTAAAAAGAAGGATGTGCAATCGTCATCATCATCGACCAAAGAGGTTGAAGTTGTTGTGTCGGGTTCAAGTGATGCCAATAAAAAGGAACACAAACAAAATGGTAGTGTAGAGTCATCTACAAAATCACCAACGAAACAGGAAGCAAATTCCTCAACCATAACATCCACCAGCAAAGATAAGAAAAAGGCTAAAATTGATGAAGATGAGGAAGATGGTGAGTTTGATGGTAAGCTATTCAATCATTAACTGTTAGGACGTTGCATTAATCTTTTCTTATATAAACTTTTAGCCAACGAAAGTAATGCTCGCCAGGCCTTAGAATATTCCTCAGAGGATGAGGAGGAATTGGAAGAAGACGACACCACAGATGAAGATGCCGACTACGATGACATTGAAGTTGAAGAGGATGATGAAGAAGTCGAGGACGAAGAGGATGAGGAATCCTATTTGGCAAATGAACAATTCTGTGCCAATATGATTGAAGAGCCGGGCAAGGATAGCGGCTGTACAGCTGTTGTGGGACTACTTAATGGTCGCGATTTGTATGTAGCCAATGCCGGAGATTCACGCTGTGTGGTTTGCCGCAAGGGCAAAGCTATTGAAATGAGTTTGGATCATAAGCCAGAAGATGATGAAGAATCGGCACGTATCATTAAGGCAGGCGGACGGGTAACTTTAGATGGTCGTGTTAATGGTGGTTTGAATTTATCGCGAGCCTTAGGAGACCATGCCTACAAAATGGTAAGTTGTTATTTAAGTAACTGAAAAGCATCACTTATTTTTTGATAACTTTCTCTAGAATCATGATTTACCCGCCGAAGAACAAATGATTTCTGCTCTGCCAGACATTAAGAAGTTAATTATTTCACCAGATGATGAATTCATGGTTTTGGCTTGCGATGGCATTTGGAATTTCATGACCAGCGAAGAGGTAGTTGACTTTGTACGTTTACGTATCAATGATGAGAATAAGAAAATGTCGGAAATATGCGAAGAATTGTTTGAGGCCTGTTTGGCTCCCAATACATTGGGTGATGGTACCGGTTGCGATAATATGACCGCTGTTATTGTGCGTTTCAAACCATCCATACTAGAGCTGCCGACAAAACTCAATCCCAATGAGACAGAAGATGTTTTGTTGGCCAAACAGGAGGCCGAAGCCGAAGAAAAATCTGGTCAAAAGGTACAAAAACGTGCTGCTTCACCCACCTCAGATGATAATGATTCCAATGAAGCTGAAAATAAAAAGAAGCGTTTTAAGACTGATGCTGATGATGAGGAAAATAAGACCTCCTCCTCTTCCTCCTCCCCTAAAACTAAAACATCCTCCTCCAACTCGTCGTCGTCGTCGAGTATGCCTGCTAATAGCACAGATGAAAGTAGCACAACAGCTACAAAAGAGGTGCAAAAAGAATGCGACAGTGCAGTGGCATCCTCAACGTAAATTGTAGATTATTTCTTTGCTATGATTGTGAGTATGTTTGAGGAGTTGGGTCGTTCTGTCACTCACACTCAAGCACTTACATTTTTAACATATATAAACTACAATGCATACAACTAAATACATACATATAATATGTCCCCTTTTATATAATAGTAATTATACTAAGTTGGTGTGAATTTTTCCTCCCCCACCCCCTTACGTAGAATTTAAGTTTAAAGGAAGATAAATTTTCAAAATGAAAAAAGCTAAATTAATTTTTACACAATACTTTACGACTCCTTTTATACAACAACAATATACCCTCTTTACAAAAGCAAGCCTTTCAAGATAAAGAGAAGGAAATAGGGTCTCAGAATATTTGTCTGTCAACATCATATTGTCGGTCTGTTCAGATAGATCTTTTTTGTATTATCCCTAGAACCATAAAAAAACTTGTTCACTTTTAACAAAACTATAAACAATTTTAATTGTAGTTTTAAACCGCATAAACAAAAATACATAATTAATAATTTTATTATTTTCTTTTTATTTAAAGTAAATGAAAATAAAATGCTCTTAGAGCATTAAATTCATGCATATATCGCTATAATTAATAAACTTTTTATGTGTAAAGTTAGAAAACAAAAACAAAAAAAAAAACAAGTGTAAACTTTAACTCAATTTAAAACATTTAACAAAATCAAACATTTTTATTTTTAATTTTAAGTTTTTTTTTAATTATTTTCTTTTTTCACAAATTTTTGCGTTTCAATTCAAGGAGAAATTTCTGTGTTTAGTTCAGTTTTTTTTTAAATATATAAAATTACAATAAAATGAAACAATAAATAAATAAATAAATAAATATGTACGTAGTCATCTCTATCTACACATTTAACATGCAATCATTTAACACTCAATTGCAAAACATACAACAAAAACAGTATAATAAATAAAATAAAATAAATTTAAATGAAAGCCTAAGTTCTATTATATATATAAAAAAAAAATATTGAAAAATATTAATTATAATAACAATAATAATAATAAAAATAATAAAAAAAATCTTTAAATTTATGAATTATATTCATTTTTCATTTCATGAATAAATTATTTTTAAGTTATTTTCAGCAGAGAATCTAGTCTAATGTCTGGTTTATGGTCTACAGTCTAGTCAATAGTTTAGTTGTTAATCTAGCTTAATCTATAGTCTAGGCTATTTTAGTCAATGGTCTAGTTTATAGTCTAGTCTAGAATGTAATCTAGTCTATAGTAGGGTTCTATAGTTGAAACGAAAAGTCGACTTTTCGACTTTTTTCATTTAGTTAAAAGTCGACTTTTTGCATTTAATGAAAAGTCGATTTTTCGACTTTTCGACTTTTTTCATTTAAATAAAAGTCGACTTTTAGACTTTTCTACTATAAGTATTTTATAAATAGTTGACTTTTCGACTTTTTCCGACTTTTTTCGATTTTTTTCGACTTTTCGATTTTTTCGACTTTTTGACTATTTTCAACTTCTTTCTACTTTTTTCCGACTATTTTTTGATTTTTTCGAGTTTTTCCGACTATTTTAGAGTTTTTGACTTTTTTTCCCACTTTTTTAAAATTTTTGACTATTTTTGACTTGTTTCTACAATTTTCGATTTTTCGACTTTTCGACTTTTTTCGACTTTTCGACTTTTTACGACTTCTCGACTTTTTTCGACTTTATTCGACTTTTTTCGACTTTCAGACTTTTCGACTTTTATTCACAAAGTCGACTTTTCGACTTTTTTCACAGACGATAGTCGAGTTATCGACTTTTTTGGAACAAAATAGTCGACTTCGACTTTTCGACTTTTTTCGACAAAAAGTCGATTGTTCGATTATTCGAAAGTCGATTTATAGAACCCTAGTCTATAGTTCAGCCTATAGTATAGTCCTTGATTTAGTCTATAATGTAGTCTATAGTCTAGCCTATAGTCTAGTCTATAGTCTAGTTTATAGCCGTCTATAGTCTATAGTTCAGTCAATAATCTAGTTTATTGTCTAGTCTACAGTGTAATCTGTAGTCTAGTCTATAGTATAGCCTGTAGTCTAGTTTATAATCCAGTATATAGTCTAGTGTACAGTATATTTTATAGTCTTGCCCATAGTCAAGTCGCAGCCTTTTCTCTAGCCTACAGTACAGTTTGTAGTCAAGTCTATAGTCTAGTTTATACTCTAGTCTATAGTCTCGTCTATATTCTTGTCTAATCTATAGTCTAGTCTAACCTATAGTCAGTAGTATAGGCTATAGTCTAGTCAATAGCGTAGACTAATTTCTAGCGTATAGTCTTGTATGTAGTCTAGTCAAGTCTATAGCCTTGCCTATAGTCTCGTCTATATTCTAGTCTAGTATATAGTATAGTCTACAGTCTAGTCTATAGTTTAGTCTATATTCTAGTCTATGATCTCGTCTATAGTCTGTTCTTTACTCTATTCAATAGTCTTTTCTATAGCCTAGTGTAGTTTAGTCTTGTTTATAGTTCTTTATTTAGTCTGTAGACTAGTCTATAGTCTCGTCTATATTCTAGTCTACAGTTTAGTCTATAATCTCGTCTATAGTCTAATCTAAAGTCTAGTCTGTAGTTCTTCCTAACTAAATTTAAACAATTTCTATTTAAACAAAATACACTCTATTTATCTATACTCTTGAACGTTAAATAAATTTATTATTTATTTTTTTATCTTAGTATTAAAATTCACAAGATTTTTTCGATATTTAACACAACAACAACAACTAAAAGAAAAAAACAAACAATCAATTTACATATCTAAATATTCTTTAATGTAATCATTATAATAATTTAGAAATATCACTTTTAAATCATCAGCAATTATATTGACAGCCCATAGCATTTCATTCATGGCAGTTTTAGAACATTTATACTTATGTTTAGCAATTAAATCCCACATATGAGTCATATTAACAATATATTCTATAGAATTGATAGAACTTTCAGTTCTAGTAACATTTAGAACATATTTTAGCATTTCAATTAAATCACAATAGTCCTGATCATTAAGGGTTACATTAACTGTAAAGATCAACGGTATAAAGTTTAAATGTTATAGGAGTGAAAGGGAAAACTTACCACAGGGTAATTGAAACCATTCGTGCACCAGTTTAGTGGCTACATAACATCTGGCATCATTGAGACCGGGAAGATATTGTTCCAATTCTTTAAATATCTGATATAGACGGCGACGTGTTGCAGATTCTGTTACTGTATACATCAAATTTTTAATCTCATGATACCATCTTAGGTTTTGTTTACTACCACAGACAGTACAATAGAGATTTGTATCGATATTACCATTAGGTGTATCACTTTGCCACCAATTTAGAGTGGGTTTTTCTGGTATATAGGGTACAAATATTTGTCTGCACTTGCTATTATCGCAGCGGTATTGATGGAATTTATTCTACAATAAAATTAATCCAGTTTAATTAGAGAAAAAAAGTATTAGTTGCTGTTCACAAACAACTTACAAACTCTTTATCTTCATTATCCGTTTGTAGACAATTTTCACACTGACATTCGAAATGATATGTTTGTAGCAACCTTTCACGTCTAGCCTCTCGTTTACCTTTACGATAGTCTACATCATAACAGTTGGTTATCTCCTCTCCCTGATGTATATCACGCAACGCAAATGTACTGATATAACGACCGGAAACTTTCGGTTGAAACGATTGTACACACGAATGATTGCACAAACTTAAATAGGGTAGATTTAAACAAGCCACATCATCGTAGTAGCTAAAGAGATGCATAAAACCCAATTTCAAATGCCAAGGTCGTAACCAGACATTTTCATTTAACAAATGATAATCGGTAGTGGTCAATAGAGTTAAGGGCCTTGGTATAATAGTGGTCAGAGTGTGACCATTCGATATACACTGACCGATATGTAGTAATATCAAAGAACCTGTTAATAATTCCCAATCAATAAGTTTATTTCGGGCACTCAACTCTTCAAAGTATTTAGTATATTGCTTGAGATAGACCACTAAATGATGCGAGACTAAGGCGAACCATTCTATATCCATATTTGTTCCCTTATTCAAATGTGTTATCATGCGCAATGACTCCGCATATGGTATATTATTATTGGCCCATATATCACCACCTTCGGTTAGAGCCGACCATACTTCTAAAGTTGAGCTTTTATCCTGCAATTTTAATTCATCCAATATGGAGAAGAGACCATTATCGAGCACGATTCTTAAAGCTAAATGAGCAATACCAAGATGAGCAAATAGTTGAAATCGATAGGCAGGACATTCGTATTTGTGTATGACGCTATGCTGCTCTTGGCACTTGAGTGAACAATAATTTACTCGACCACGGCAGTGTAAACAAGGAATTGGTATAAAATTAACCGTACCGCATTGGTGACATAAACGACGCGTGTCTCCAACGGCCACGAACGCAGAGGCTCTTTCGGTGAATATTAGTTGATTCTTTTCGATGAGACATTTCGCTTGCATGTGACGACCTTTTGTTGTGGTGATGCTGTAAGGGAATGTTATTAGGTGGAATGTAGCTTGGAGAAGTAAATATCTATCTATCTATCTATCTATCTATCTATCTATCTATCTATCTATCTATCTATCTATCTATCTATCTATCCATCTATCTATCTATCTATCTATCTATCTATCTATCTATCTATCTATCTATCTATCTATCTATCTATCTATCTATCTATCTATCTATCTATCTATCTATCTATCTATCTATCTATCTATCTATCTATCTATCTATTCTATCTATCTATCTATCTATCTATCTATCTATCTATCTATCTATCTACTATCTATCTATCTATCTATCTATCTATCTATCTATCTATCTATCTATCTATCTATCTATCTTCTATCTATCTATCTATCTATCTATCTATCTATCTATCTATCTATCTATCTATCTATCTATCTATCTATCTATCTATCTATCTATCTATCTATCTATCTATCTATCTATCGTATCTATCTATCTATCTATCTATCTATCATCTATCTATCTATCTATCTATCTATCTAGCTATCTATCTATCGATTCTATCTATTATATATCTATCTATCTATCTATCTATCTATCTATCTTCTATCTATCTATCTATCTATCGATCTATCTATCTATCTATCTATCTATCTATCTATTATCTTATCTATCTATCTATCTATCTATCTATCTATCTATCTTCTATCTATCTATCTATCTATCTATCTATCTATCTACATCTATCTATTCTATCTATCTATCTATCTATCTATCTATCTATCTATCTATCTATCTATCTATCTATCTATCTATCTATCTATCTATCTATCTATCTATCTATCTATCTATCTATCTATCTATCTATCTATCTATCTATCTATCTATCTATCTATCTATCTATCTATCTATCTAT